TCTCGCTGATATCTGCCTTATGTGTCTTGTTTATATTTCCCGAGTTAGGGTTTTGTTTTCATGGAGGTGGAAGTGGAGAGGAGTCGGGGCGCACGGTAGCCCTGTAACCTGACTGCGGGACCCCTACAATGGACTGACAGCACTGCCCCTCCTGAAACTGGAAAACAAACTCTTAGAAAAACCCTTTCACCACACCGAGCTGACCATTAACACTGATTTATGCCGGGTCCTGTTTCACTGTTTCCAAAACAGTTGTGGTCTTGTTGAGTGCAGAGTTATCAGGGCCTACCTGCATGTGACACGTATCCGATAAACATAGCACATGCACCATAAAATGTATTTTAATGTGAGCTGATTCTTTTAGGCCCGAATCACGGTTAACTGGTTAGACACACAGCCCTGCACAAAATGGCTGGCACCAAGTCGAGGCAAACATTCGGCACCACCTCATTTTGATTTACTTAATCTCTCGGCCTTTCCCTCAGCTGCCCGCCTCTCAGTTATTACTGCAAGTCCGACCATCTGTTTCTGGACTAACCTGCCTCCCTTTAAATCAATATCAGCAGGCAGGCCAAATGGCATTTAAGCCCTCTGTCCACTGAGGCCTGCGAGTTTTAATACCCAGTAGTTAGATTTGGATGCCTATAAAAACAGTTATTTACTCAAAAAGAAAATAAATGCCCGCTTTCTCTCACATACATATTCGAGCTCTTGCGCGCAAAAACTGAATGAATGCAGTGCAGTAAACAAATGTAACCGCCCTCCATGCTGCCATGCTTACTTTGTTGCTCTGTAATAGATCGTATCCCCAGAATATCTGTTACAGAGTGCGAGGAAGGCCATATCCTGTGCATGGCCATGTGTCCGGGAAGGGTGGGCATGCCAGGGGGAGTGGGCACTTTGGAAGTGGGGTATGAGTATAAGTGGTTGTAGGGTAACGTTGGCTGTGGCGGTGGGTGAGGGGCCTGCTTGCCCGACTCATACTGGCTCTGCTGTGACAGATTCCCGATCTTGTTGCGGAGGATCCGACTGATGGAGCTCACAGAGGGGAGATTGAATTTGTCGCAAACCCCATCGGCAAGTAGCCTGTCCCGGATTTCCCAGGCAAAAATCCCCGGGTCTCTCTGCTTGTATGTCCGTATGTGCTTAACCACGGTGGGTGTGGTGACCCGTGGCTTGCTGCCTCCGATGGCCCCGGGGAGGATGGATCCGGTCTCGTTGTAACGGGCTAGGATCTTACTGACGCAACCGTGGGAGACGCGCAGCTGCCTGCTAATGTCACAGGGTCGAATCCCGAGCTGGGCCAGCTCCACTATCCTGAGCCGGATGGCGTTGGGGAGCGGCCTGCCGTTCACGAAAACACCGCCGAGTTGGTTCACCTCACCGAAGGCTGGCTCTGGTGTCAAGAACAAACACACACAAGGGCAGAACAACCAGACAACAATTAGGTAACCAAACCAAGGCCCACCATAACCTGGGTATGAACAGTTCTTCGCAAGGTTTTATATTTCTTACAGTAAATGTACAGTCAAATATAGCAAAGATGTTACGTTTTAAATTGTTAGTTATTCCAGGTATTTGTCATTTATAAGAGCACCGTGCAACCAAAATTCTTTGATGCATCATCATAGCTGACTTTAAAATCCATCTTTACGCAAGGGTGCATTTTACATCTTAGAGCGAATTTAACGAAAATCTACTCACCCCAAAACAAAACTTTGTCGCTTTGAGTTGTGTATAAAAAGTACTGTGCTGAAAAGTACAGGCTAATAGCTGAGTGATAGTTGTCGAGCACACAGATATCCAGCAGTCGGTGCCAAAACTTGTGCGTAACTGTCACATGTATTAACTCACATTCTGCTGGTTTCTTCCCACTGGATTAACAACTAAACTAACCCCACAAAACATCTTAAATAGACCGTATCTCTACATTTCCCTAC